GGCCAGTAGGACTAGGGAAGGGATCATGCCCCTCTTCTTGCCACTGGTGAGGCTGCAACTCATGTCCTGCATTCAGTTTTGGGCCTCTCACTTGATGAAAGACGGCAAGGTGACCAGAGAACGGCAATGGGGTTGGTGATGGGGTGCAGCACAAGTGCTGTGTGGAGTGGCTGAAGAAGCTATGGGGTTTTAGCCTGCCAAAAATGTAGGCTCAGGGGTGGTCTTACCACTACAACTTCCTGAAAGGAGGCTGTAGTGAGATGGGGGTTGCTCTTTTCTCCCAGTGAACAAGTGACAGGCCAAGAGGAAATAGTATCTAGTAACACTAGAGGAGGTTTTGATACAAAGAAGCTAAAAAGATTAATCAATGATGTACTGGAAGCTGCTTACTAAACAACTGGTACTGCCTGCTTGTGCTTGCTCCACAATGACATGCATACTTCAAAAGGAAAGGATACTGACCAGAGCTAAGGGTGAATTGGTAAGAGGAGTAGGCCCCAAGGAAAGAATTTCAGAAGGCACTGGCTGAGTAAACAAAGGAGGCTCCAAAAGGCAATTAAGGGCCTGTTGAGTGAACAAGGGAAGAAATAAATCAAGACAGTAGTTCACAACAAGGTGTTACCTTATCTTACCAAATGTATAGAACACTAATTTTAGGATGGCTTTAGCTCATTAACACACAAAAGTGCTGAGTTAGCAAAAAACAAGTATAATGTGCATGTGCTAAAGGACAAGGTGAAAAGTTTAAGCTGAATGAAGACTACTAGCCTTCTTCTTGAAGACCCCTGCCCATGACCACCTGAAGATACTGTTCAAGCACAAACACATGGAAATGAGTTTAGAGCTCATTAATATACGAAGCAGAGACAGGTTATGAATATGTCTAGGCATATTAAGCAACCTAATGTATACGTAACACTAAGAGATAAATACAAAGAAAGGTGCTATTACAGTTGCACAGGTTTGGTGGAGCGATCCCCCTTGTGCCCAGTGCTGAATAAACAGATATCTGCTACTCAGAGATACAAGTCTGTGAGGAGTTTCTTTTACAGCTTTTCTCGGCATCAGTTTAGATTGGATATTAGTAAAAATCTCTTCATAGAAAGGGTTGTCAGGCATTGAAACAGGCTGCCCCGGAAAGCAGTTGAATCACCAGCTCCATAGGTCCTTAAAAGCCATGTACATGTATGTGGTAGAGACATGGTTTAGTGGTGGACTTGGCACTGTTTGGTTTATAGCTGGACTTGATGATCTTGATTTCCAACCTAAATGATTCTAGCAGCACGAATTTCCTCATCTTGCTTCAGCAAGAGAATTCTACCTTTTTGTTTAAGAGAGTATTACAGAATCAAGCAATATCATGAACCGGAAGGGATGCATGAGGATCATCAAAGTCCTGGTCCTGCACAGGACCACCCCAAGCATGACACCATGTGCCTGGAAGCATTGTCCAAACGCTACTTGAACTCTGTCAGGCTTGGTGCTGTGACCATTTTCCTGGGGAGCTGTTCCACTGCCCAACGACCCTCTGGGTAAAGAACTTGTCCTCATATACAATGATACAATGGTTAGAGTTGGAAGGGACTTTATTTTTAGAAAACCATTAGAGAACCATCTCTATGACCCTTTCAAGAATTTTTATTCTATAGAGCATAACTAAGGATAAAAAGCAGAAACGGGGAGGCAAAAGTTAATACTCCCAGAAGGTAAGTCTCATGCAGGAATTCTGTAGTTTTGCATCAGTTTTAAATCACAACAGATTTTAAAAATAATAATGTTCCTAACACTGTGAAGCAACATCAACAATGCCATTTCCCAGTTACTTGAACAGCAGGAGATGAGACCCTGAACTGAAACAGTGTACTCATGAAAGTCAGCAACTCTAGAAAATTAATGTTGTTCAAAAGAAAAACAAGATACACAAGGTTAATCTAGACTATATCCTTTATTATTTGCAGTCTGTTTAAATTTTAATACACGACTGAATTTCTACATCATTTTCTCTGTTTAAGCATGTCCTGGTCATTTCCAACCACCCAGTCAATTGCATCTTTATTATGTACAGTCAGTATTTATGAAATATTGCATATGCATCTATGAACTTAGAAAAATAACATGCAAGGAAAATTGTTACCATGAAACTGATAAAAAAAAAAGATAGGTAAAACAATCCCCTTTTAGTGTGTTATGGCTTTGCACCATGTATCAGATGTCAAAACAAACAGCTTAAGATGCTTCTTGTTAAAGGCACTTACTGTTCTTCAAATACACTTTTGCATTTAGTTCTATTGCATTAAGAAGTGTATCTCTGGGATCATACTTTCATAACACAGCAGAACAGTCCAAAAAGGCAGCATTAATAAAAAGGAAAAAAGGGGGTTTATGTTAAAGTATGCAAATACCAAGAATTAACACAAACTTTAAGGTTTTGGTCCTTATAAAACAGGCAACAGCATTCAGGCAATAGTGATTTCTTTTCATAGATGCTGACAAAATAATATCCCCAAAAAAAGAACTCTTCCAGTTCCAGTGTATAGATATGTCTCAGTTGAGTAGCGTACCCTCTAACACCACCCCCGATAAAAATATAGCTTTTCAACACTAACTATTGCTCCACTTTGGCTGCGAAGGAAGAAACTTCAAAAGTGTTAGGCATGGACATACTAGCAAGCCTACAATTCTGTGTCTCTGTATCTGGATGGCTGTCCATAATACCCCTTCTTTGAGTGGTCTGCCAGCTGCCGACGGTACTCCTCCTCCTCCTCCTCCACATCACTGCCGTAACTGCAACGATTCTCTAGGTAAGGTCTAACAGGAGGTTTCTGGGGTTCTGGAGGTCTGGAGCTAGCACAGCAAGACAGAGAAAGAAATGAAGCTTACTTTCATTATGAAAAGCTGAAAAATAATTATATGCAGCATTTGCCTTATGGCCATGTACAACCTAGAAAGGCACATGGAGCAAATGAAACCTCTTCTAGCCCATAAACAATTGCACGGCCATGGTGACCCTATCTGGACAGGCATCTTACTTCCATCACACAGGACACTGACGTTTGGATTTGATCTACTCATCCTAACAGGCAGCATACCAAATTTAAAATTATTAATCACCTCTGCAGACACACACACACACAGAGGCATCAATAGCTTTACTTTATTCCCTGAGCAGAGAGGTTTCCAGCCATTGCTAACTACTCCAACTGACATTTTCCTTAATTAGTTTTGCACAGTGTGCTTTCTATGCCTGCTTCTTATTTCACATCCTCCGTCTCCTGTCTCAAAGTCTAAAGACTTCTTTGTGACATTTCTTGGTAGTCTTCTCACTCAAGGCTCTCACTAGGGCTCTTAGCCTTAAAAGTGGGCAGACATAACACACACATTTGCTTTCTGTACACTGTAGTACTACCCATTTGATGTGACATTAAGCAGACATACAAAAATAAAATGTCAAGAAAGAGTATTTCCTCAGTTTCAAAAGCCATGATTTTTGCCATCCATGTTATGCAAAAACAAGATCTTATTCTCCTTGCACATTGCCCCCAGGGCTTAAATAATCCCTCTAGGCCAACCACTAGCATCCCTGTCAAGATGTAACAGTGCCATTTCCAAGGCTATATAAAAAGTATGCTTTTCTGAACCTGCCAAGAAATCCTGTAAAAAAGTTTTCCATTTTTGCATTTTAGATGACTTACTGCAACATCAAAGGATTTGATCCACTAGAAACAAAAAAATGTCATTTCTATTGGCTATTACTAAGAGGCAAGAAAAACTGAGAAGTCCTGAAGAGAAGAAAACTAAATCCATCGTATAAGTGTGTTAACATAGGTGACTAGTCAAGTCATAGCAATGTGCAGTGTGTAGGGTAAGATAACACAAGGGTCAATCCATCCAGAACTCATTTAATTTTAATGAAAGACTACTACTTTAATGAGACCTGAGGCAAGTTTCACCCTTAGCTTACCTAACCACACTACACATCTGTAACTGAATAAGCATTTAAGTAATTGCTATTAGAACAGCAACTACTTATCAGGACTAACAGTCATCAAGTATCTAGCACAGGAAAAATGGACATGCAGGAAAGCTTCTGGGTGAAACTGACTGGGGCAAAGAATGGCTCCGCAAATACTTCAGTGAAAGAATATAGTGTTTCTCCCTACATGATTCAAATACTATAAATGAACTAAAAGTAATCCAAGAAAAGTTTGCTGAAATTTTGCCCCACCTTTACAGTAATCTCTGAGGCAGAGCAAGATAACTACATGCCAAGGCAGGATGATTTGTATGAACACAAACTACCAAGATCAGTTTTCCTCCTGCTAGTGAAATAAACAATCAAGACAGAATGCCTAAAATTGTATACACCTTACCTCATCGGCTGGGGCCAGTTCTGTTCTGACTTCTGTGTTTTGACAGGGACAGCATAAATATCCGGATGCTTCTGGGCTATTTCAAGCTTTAAAAGAAAGCAGAAGAAAATAACTGTTCTTTTTAAGTCTCTCCGTTAGGGACTGTATACTAGGATCTAGCAGGTCACAGCTACAATTAAAGCACAAATTGGAAACATCTTATTGATATTCCTACAAATCATGTAACCTTTTGCTAGAGCAGTAATTCAAAGTGCATGTGAAAACAATGGATTGCCAAAAGCAACAGGATTATTAGAAGTCAACTTTCTATAGTTACAATAGGAAGCCTTAAACTATGTCCTCTTTTTATATCCAAATCCACACAACAGTACGTCTCTATGTGTGGTTTCCCAAACTTCTCCCTCTGGAAGTAACACAATGCAAAAACATGATTTTCATTTTCAGGACTCAGGCTGTTCTACAGGCCAAAAAGCACAGCAGAGAGAAAATGCATACCCTGGCATTCTGGGCCTCTTGCAGCTCTTGCATTCTTTGCATCCTTGCCTTATGATCCATCTCCTCAAATATTTTCACTTTCCTCAATACTGATTTTGGAGTATTTTCTTGTTCGCTTCCTTCCTCTTCCAACTTTGTCTCCTCCTCTTCCTCAGCAGGCGGAACCGCTGGCTGAGAGTTTCTCAGGATGGGACGCCCAAAGACAGGTTTCACAGAAACAGGTGGTGGTGATGCTTTAGCTGATACAGTTGAAGTCTCACTGCTGACAGCAACATTACTTGATTTGGAGTCATAATTCTTGGGGAAGTCATATAGCTCCTCTTTGCTTTGTAACTTTCCCTGCAAGTACAAAACAAGTTTATATCAGCATCTTTGTAACTTTCATTTCAAAAGAGGGCTTTAACCTGAAATTAATCACTCTGCCTATATAATTAACAGTGGCAATCTTCATATGATACTTGAAAGGTATTTGAACTGCTGCAACATTTTGGCCATATGCTCATCAGTCTATAGAAGACTAGGACATTTAGACTGGTTTGTCCTATTTGCTAATGATTACCAGAGCTACAGTGTGTGTTGGGGTACAGCACAGAGAAAACTGATGTCCCAAATAATTTGCCAGTACTACCTAATGTAGAGTATCACTACCAGGAGTTTAGAAGTGCACTGGATGCTATTCTGCTCTATATTCCACCTTTGTTTTCCTTACACAAGTCCTACTCTACCCAATCTTCATTGTCAAGGTATACTTGGTCTGTATTTTGAATACTTGCAACATATGAGGGCTTTGGGGTCAGGACAAATCAGGAATTGCTAAAATAGAACTTGGTGTCCAAACACCATAATTTTTTTCCCTCTGTATCATTCCTGAGCCACGTTTGAACAAACAGTTAACATCAACTTCTAGCAATGGTCAGAGGTGGTAAATTCTGGTTTTGTCCTTCACAGTAATGGCCATCAGATATGTTTTTCCTGGTGATTA